ATATAGTGATGGGTTGATATACTTGAAAAATAAGGTAACCACAAATCAAAAGCATACAATAGAGTCACAAAAAAAAACACAAAAAGAAACAAACACAAAATGGCTTAAAGACTTAAGCATTAGACAAGACGCTATAAACCTCTCAGAAGGAAACATAGGCAAAACATTGACATACATCTCAGCAATGTTTTCCTAGGGCAATCCACCCAAGCAACAGAAATAAAAGCCAAAATAAACAAATGGGACCTAATTAAACCTATCAGCTTTTTCACAGCAATAGAAACCATAAGCAAAACAAAAAGACAACCTATGGAATGGGAGAAAATATTTGCAAAAGATGAGACTGAACATGGCTTAACTTCTAGACTATATAAATAGTTCATACAACTTAATAAGAAAAAAAATAAACAACCCAATCCAAAAATGGGAAGAACAACTAAACAAGCAATTCTCCAATGAAGATATACAAATGGCCAATTGACATATGAAAAAAAAGGCTCAATATTGCTAATTATCAGAGAAATGCTAATCAAAGCTACAATAAGTTATCATCTCCCACCAGTCAGAATGGCCACCATTCAAAAATCTACCAACCATAAATGCTCGAGAGGCCTGTGGAGAAAAGGGAACCCTCCTACATTTTTGGTGGGAATGTAGTTTGGTGCAGCCACTGTGGAAAACAGTATGGAGATTCCTCAAAAGACAAAAAAAGACTTATCATTTGATCCAGCAATCCCACTCCTGGGCATATATCCAGAAGGAACCTTAATTCCAAAAGATATCTGCAACCCAAAGTACACAGCAGCATTGTTTACAATGGCCAAGACATAGAAGCAAACTAAATGCCCACTGACAGATGACTGGATAAAGATGCAGTATTTAGATATAAAAGAATATTACTCAGTCGTAACAAAGAAGGAAATAATGCCATTTACAGCAACATGGATGGACATGGAGATTATCACACTAAAGTGAAATAACTCAGACAGAGGAAGACAAGTATCAT